ACAGTAGTACAAACAAATGATAATTTATATGCAACTGAGCAAAAAATGTACAAAGATTTCAGACATGTCATTAAAATACAGAAAAAATAATTTAAAATAAAAACAAGATAAAATATAGAGAACATGCAATGAAGGGAAAATAAAATATCGGTTTGATGATCTTGTGTTTCCTTTCACTCTCAAAAGGAACCATCCCAGGGCAAATCAAATTATCACATAAAAAGATAACACCACAGAGGAGACAAGGTAAATGAAGTGACAAGGAAAAAGACAAGGAAAGTGAAAATAATGGTGAAAGCAAGAGACTCTTTAATAATCAAAACCAACACTGCTGACACCATGCTGAAGATACAGAAGCCTTGGTTGCCATGGAATAGTAACTGGCTGGAGAACTACAGTGAGATGAATACAATGCAAATCACAATTCTTAGCAGTGACAAATTTGGATCCCTTGGACTCATGTCTGCCAGCTCCTATTTCCATTGCTAAGGTACATTGGGATTCCTGCTCTTCTAATACCAGATGAGAGTCTTAGTGGGTAACTTTCATGACTGCTAAAGTTGGAAGAATGGATTTCTGAGGTAGGCTGGGATTTGCACATCAGTGGACATGGAAACAAGGGAGTTTAAGGCAGATCACAAGAGGCTGCCCTGGACAGAGATACAGGGTTTTTTCTTTCACCCTGTGTACTGCCAAAATACTTGTGACAATTTTTAGAATAATTTTGCTACCTCCCACTATCTCATTGAGTTCACAGAGTCTAGAGTTTTTGAGATTCAAGACGTTATTAAGCTTGGAGTAGTAAGAAATAGGAATTATAAGGTGCTGTTACAAGTACACAAGACTGTTCCCACTCTGAACAGTACCTGTAATGCTGCCCCCTTCTAATAATTTAAAAATAAGAAAGATTGAAAAGTGAAAAGAGTCTATTGAATAAAATTATTTTGCAGAAGCATGAGAAAGAAAAGAAATCACAAACTAAGCTGTGAAGACTGTGATTGTTAATGAATTATAAATTTGACACAAGTTATGAGACAATGACTAGAAGCAACTCAGGAGGTGGAAAACTATGCTATGCCTTAGCCAATAAAACCCCCAAATCTTCTTGCACTACAGATTCCCAAAAACACTGGGCCCAGTTTCTGAAAAACTCACATTGCTAAGAATAGCACAGCTGGTTTGGAAAAACAGATTTTTGATTAATCATATATGTTATCTGTGCAAAGAAAAGAATCAAACCAAGAATTTATTTGGGTCATTCTAATATTGTCTTTCAAGAGCTGTATCAAATGTAAGCGAATCAATATCACCTCTTATGAGAGGTGTGTAACAGGTATCAGATCCCAGAAAACAAAAAATCATCCTGTACAAGTGACTAATTTTGTTTGACATGGGGTTGCCTGTTAATTTTTTTAGTGAATAATCTCATGCACAGTGAAAAATATGAGAATTTAACTTTCTTTCCATGAATAGTAGGATATTTTATCTTTGCATATAAGTTTCCATTGTTTTGTAGTATATGGAAGAACTTGTAATGCTTTCTTCATAGTTCTGACGAGATCTCAGAAGTAATAATCTTCAGAGGAATAGCACATCACACAAAGACACAGCTGATAAAGCACAGAGGATGCTGGGGAGGCCATTGCAGGAAGCAGCCACGCTGGATCATAGTGACAACAAAGATGTGAAAAGTGCCTTTCATTCCTTCAAAGGGGATAAAAGATACCTACAATCTGATGATGTGGCAAAGCCCTTGGCTGTTAAATCATCTAAATTACATTATGGCTTACTGATATTGTGAAATAAATGCATAGGACTTACAACAAAAAGAAATCCAGAGGCAATTGTCAAAAGTTCAACATTTATATGGTAACCAGGTTTTAATAACTTTATCTGATTGCTCAGTCATTTAAAAGGGACATAAAGTGACTGAAAAAAGACTCCAGAATAAATATTAGTTTTTCACAACTCCCTAATTTTCTGAAGCTTATCGAAGTCAAAAGATTAGGTATCAGTATTTCAGGCTGAGTAGCAGCTGTGTAAATTCAAGATTTTAACACACAGAGATAGAGGTATGAGCTGACTAAATTTCATTGTGGGTATTGGATGGCTGGGTACTAACAATGAGTAGAGGGTGATTATAAATTCCAGAATATCTTTTGGAAAAAAGATGACCTAGTGCAAGTTTTTCTGAGTTAGAAAGTAATAAGGCAATTTTAACATCACCAGATATTTTACAGCTTGAAGAGATTGCAAATTTGAGCCCTAATAGAAGAATATGGCATGGTGTTGCAGCAGTACATTTTTTCCTGATGCTGGAGCTAATCTTTCTTTTGTTAATCTGATCTGATAAGGATTAAATAGGGATAGTATTAAAATTTGTACAGCAGAACTCATTAGAAACATTTTTTTAAAAAATCTCCTGCAAATAGAATAAAAAATATCTTGTATCAACATCCTGAAAAAGATCAACCCAGCCGTCACTCTTCTAGCAAGAAATTTCACTATTACTTGAAAGATACAATTGTGAACTAATGGCAACATGGAAAAATAAAGGGAATTAATCTCTCCTGGAGGTTTGTCTTAGTGAACTGACTTAGTGCATAGGAACAATACTAACCTTTATTTTAAATTTTATTTTTGTGGTATTGAGTTTCTTCATATGCAAAAAATGTAAAAAATATTCTAATTGGAAGCAGTGTCTCCTTGACATAACTCTTCCTATGAAGTCTACAAATGTAGATCAGGTTAATATCAACGTCCAAGTTCTGTTGTCAGGTTTCAAAAGAGGCTTCTGTTCATCTCATAGTTAATAATACATTCTTCACACTCAGTGTAATTAAGAACTGTGATTTATACCATGCAGACATCTGAGTCCTTGGACATCAATGTATTGGCTCAGCCTAACCTCCACAAAAGTCTAAGGAATACAAAGTGGAAAAAGAAAAGACAACAAACTAGCAAAAAGCACCGCCTTAATGTCAGCTGAAAACATTTCTCCAATGCCCATGAAGGCAATGCACATTTTTCTAGCCACAGACTTCACAGGCCCTCTACATAAAAAATAAGAGTCTCTAAAGAATGCTTTTTCTCTCTCTCCAGCAAGCTGCATGCCACCCAACCCTGTCATAGATCTGCCATAGTAGTCCAAACATTTTTTATTTTTGAGTTGGCAATTATTGAAATGATACAACCAACCAAGTGGATCATGCCAAAGTCAGAATGCTACACGAGGGCTTCACGAGTCAGGACAACTCCTCGTTCAGTTCTGGTTCCACTATAATTTTTTCCAAGGGATTTCTAAAGCTCCTAACAAGGTGAAGGTCACAGAAGCCAAATGTTGCCACCTTCTCTTTGCCTCAAAGGCCACATCAAAGTAATCTCAGACTGCAAGAAAAACTGTTTTCTGTGACCCACCACAAGCTCTGCTTCACAGAAGAAAGTGGCTGGGAGACATCCCAGTTCACACCATTTTTAGGTGATATCACAACATTTGTGTTTTGCCAAAGCCTTCCCAAAAGCAGAAGAAAATCAGCAGCATGACTTGAGTTTGCAGCTCTTACTGAACTAATGACTTGGCTGGAGCACCAGATGCAGCTAAGAGGGAGATTTTAATGTTCTGTGTATGCTATTCGGGCTGTAGCTCTGTCAGTAGAGGAGCACCCAGGACTCCCATTAGAGCAGAGGAGCACACAGGACTCCACACCCCCTCAGCCCTGGATCCTGTCTTTACCATAGTTTTGAAACTTGGTTCCTCTAAACAAGTCAAAAACCTGCAGCCTATATTCACCATCACTTTCGAAACTTAGTTTCCTACCTTAACTGCAGTAGCCATCAGATATCCCACTTCAATCCCTCCTCACTGGTAGTACATAAAATATAAAATATGTCAGGCCACTAATCTGCCAGGAAGTACTGCTACATTTTTTTGCTAATTTAGTTGAGTGGATGTTGGGGCCACTGCAACGAAAGTCTCCAACCCCTGGTGTGCAGCAGGGCCAGAGCAAATGTGGCCATGTGGCACGTGTGGCCACTGGCCTAGGCAGAGGATTCCTGAGGATCCTGCCTGTTCCTGGCTCTGGGCAGCTCCAACTGCTCTGATCGACCCAAAGGTGCCTCTAGCTGCCTGCCTGTCACTGCACCCAGCTGTCCCTTTCATGGACCCTCATTCCATCCCATCCTGCCTAGCATACCCTCCATCCCCCTTCCTCCAGCCGGCTTAGCCCGGCGCTGTGCCCTCTCCCTGGGAACACACACCTCCTCGTTCAGCCTTTACACCTGCAGGGCCAGGGCTCACTCTGCTCCCCCTCTCCCGGCAGCAACCCCATCACTGATCTTTCTGGAACCTCTCCATGCTCTGTTTAAGCTTAATTTGCCTCTAACCCAGCCTAGTTGTGCTCCAAGGGCAGGCCCAGCTTCACAGACAGCGATCTCCGCAAGCACAGCTCTACCATGAGAGTAATTTCAGTTTACTTTAAAACACAGAGAGTTAAAAGTATTCTATGTTTGACAAAGAAACTGCCAAAGAGCAACCTTGATCAAGAACACACTGGAGGAAAAGGGGAAGAGAAGGATGGGAAAGGGAGAAAAGATGGGATGGGATAGGCACAGATATGCAATAATCCTTCTTAGCGTTAATAGTAAAAGAAAGGAAGGGGATGGGTGAAAAAGAAAATATTTAAACTCGGGAAGACAGATCCTTTTTCAACAATGGAAACTGAGTATTCAAACTCCTTGCAATAAAAGAGTGAATTATTTCACCTTAGCTATATGAAACTGCCTTTAGGGCATATTCTCATCTCACTCTACAAAGATACACAACAGCAAGTCCCTGAGCATAGAGAGGGGAACACACACATAGCATGGCCAGACAGGTGCTTGTGCACACAGCATGAGGACACTTTAGAAAGCATCCCTGCCTTGCCCTGCAGGATTTCACAGTGGCAGTGAAACACCTACTGCTGGGCTGTAGGCCTTCATAACACTAGCATGGGGGCACCTTTGCAGTTACAGCAGGAGCAACATCTCCAAGGCAGCAGGGAAAAATCATAGGATATGGAACTGTTTGGGTTGGAAGGGACCTTTAAGATCCCCATTTGCAACCCTCTGCCAAAGGGAGAGATGCCATCCACTAGACCAGGTTTCCAGTTTGCCAAAATTGCTTACAGGTGACAGGTATATCAATTAGTCTACTGCTTCTGCAGCTTGAGAAAGAGAGATTAGAATTGGTGGGCTATGTACTGTTTTCGAGCTGTAGTGTAGTAGTGCAGCTCACTGCTATTATTTGCTTGTAACAAACACCTGTTCCAAGATGAAAGCACCTACAAATGCCTCAGTGTCTCCAAAATTGCAAGAGGTTAGTTTGTTAAACATTAAATCTATGTAAACAAATACGGGCTTCATATAAGACAGATCTGAGAATAGACTGATTATTCTACCTTAGAATAATCTAACTACTACTGGCTGCTGTGCATGGAAACTTCAAACCCAAGAACTTCTCAGATATAATTTCCTAGATAAAACATGTTATATGAAGGTCAGCTTCCTCAGAGGCTCCTACTTTTAGAAATAAAATTGACTTCAAAAGAAAGGACACATTTAAACAGTGTCATGGCAATATGGCTTATTCAATTATTAACTAGCTGATTTATTTTTAATTGTTTGTGTACCTCTTCAAACCCAGCCTAGGTCAGCCATGAAGGAGAGCAGCTACCAGACATCTGGCAGCTGCAGAGCCTGTACAGGGTGGACATGGATGTCCCAGCCAGTGGATGGGGGCTCAGATCAGAGAAAACATCACCACAGATGGCACAGCCAGGTGCCTGTGACTGGCCTCCCGTCACTCACAGCAGAGTGGCCGAGGGCATGTTTCTGAACCACTCTCTTACCCCTAAAGGTGGTCTCTCCAGGTCAGGGCTGAGGCACATTGGTGGGGCAATGAGGGGAAGTTTGCACTGCTGCTGCCCATGCTGTATCTGCTCTACAAATAAATAGAGGACTTTAGTCTCCAGGGCTGTCAGTTTGGCACCTTCCATGTGCACAAAAGACACTTCTGTTTGTTTGTTTTTATTTTCTTAGAAACAACCACCCAAAAAGTTATATGCAAAGCTTAGTATGGCAAATCAAAATAAATCAAATTTATTGCATGAGAGCACCTAAAATCCCAAAATTTCCACTTGCTCTCTCTTTCTTTTGTGTTTTCTACTTTTAATTGTGATAAGAATAAAAGTTATGGACCTCTTTCGGTGTTTCTTGATGACAACGGTTGCTGTTCCACCACAACTCCAATGCTGCCACCAAGCAAGCAAGAAGAAGGCCTATTGCTAAAATGCAGAAAACGCCTGCAAAACTGTGCAGCTTGAGTGCCTTCCCATCTGTCTGTGCATTGGTATGGCTATTCAGGTCACAACGTCCCATCCGTGGCCACCACTTCTGTTTAAGAACATCCAAATCTCCACTTTCTTGCAACTCTAGGATCCTGCAGAAATTTCAAAAGACAAGTATTATTTGCAATGATACTTTTTTACAGTTTTTTTGTCTTTTCCTTATGCTTCAAAGCTCTTAAATCTACCATCCCAGTATTCAAAACTTCATTCCCCACCACCAGAGTGATCTGAAACTCCCTTATAACAAGATTTCTTTCTACTCACAGCAGCAGGTAAACTCCATCGGGTAACTTTAGGAAAAAGAAAGACTGTCAAAAATTCCACTCCAATGCAAACAGCATTTCCAAGGGAAATCACCACTGTTAGTTATGCCTGGTCTGGCTACATTCAGCTGCAGCAGCTGGTCCCACTAGTGAAATGCTCAACTCACTCCACTGCTACTCTCCTACAATAATTCCAAAAATATGTGAGGCTAAACATGCTACTGTCTGTGCACCACTTAGTACAAATCTGTTTAAGCAGCGACCAACTCATTTACTTTAGCAGATGTAGTTTATTCAAAAGGATTTTACTTCAATGCTGTTACTTAATGCCTGAATTACTGTGTTAACAGTTGCTAATTAATCATTGTTTTGTCTCTTGTGAAGTGTCCCTTCTCTGCATGAATGATTCATTTTGGATTTGGTTTGATAACTGTTTTAGCTGTTTACCAACAATCTTTTCTCTTGAGGCAGCTTTGTTTCTAGTTATGCAGCTGGAGATTTCCTCCTTTTTATAAAAGAGTAGCAAGATGGGGCAATCTTGCTTCTGTTCCCTGCCTGGAGCAGAGCACCCCTCATCTTCTGCTAAGGACACAAATGCCTGCACAACCGTGTATCTTTGTTTCAGAGTACATATTCACATGGACAAGAGATACCCAGCTGATAGCTCAGAGATCACTAAATGGCATAGTTTACAGTCTCCTGGTCTTGTCAGCCTCATGCAATTCTCTGCAATTCTTGTTTCCCTGCACCACTGTGAGTCCCTCAACCCTAAAGGATAACCCAAGGTGCAGGGAGCAACACACTGCTTCAGAGCCTGCAGAATGCGGCATGAACTCAAGACCTCTCTTCAATCTCTCCTCTTCCTCACACCGAGCTCTGAGGACATCAGTCCTCTCAGCCAGAGGCAGTGCTGTCTGAAGGTGTGAGGCCACACATCACCTCCAGTCCCCTCCTCCAAAACCAGATGCACATGGAGCAGAAGGAGCAGCAGCTTTGCTGGAGCCTGAACTCATAACCTTTCTGTTGTCATGTATTCATTGCTCTTTATTAATTAAATGCCAAAATTAATGTGAACAGTTGCTGGCTATAGAGAGAGATCCTATAAAACAAGCTTTCTTTCAGTTTACCTCTGGGAGAAAAGATCTCTGTAGGGACTTCCATGCTGAAGTGCTATCCCATATCCTTTGCTGCTGATGCTGTTTCCAATGACTGTCACAGAGCATTCATCATCTGTCAGTGCAGCATATTCCACCACTGTCACATCCCACAGGAAAGCATAATTTCCTTTCTTTGCCTGCAAATACAACATGAACACAATACAGTCTAAACTAAACTGCATTTCTAGGTAGGACAAAACCTAAGCCAGCAAACAAATCCAGATCCTGTCATTATTCCTTGGTGGTATTTCATTAGGTCACAGTTTATATGTAGACCTTCAATATCTTAATACATTTCTAACAGTCTTCTCTCCTAGCAGGACCTCACCTACTTCAAACCTTGCTAAAATATCTTCCTTTTTTTAGTATGCACATAGGAAAACACAGCCAACTATAACTGTAAGTGAGGCTTATGTAACAGGTTATTAATTATAAATGAAAGCTATTTCTTTAGATGACGAAATTCGATGCACGTTTTGTAGGAGACAAGGAATGGGACTGGTTCCATGCATTCATATGACAAGACTGGCATAGTATGAGCATTAAGTGATGAGCATCACAGGCACCAAAATTGTAATTTTGCAGCTTTGCTCATATAAACATGTAAATAAACAAATTTCCCTTGCAAGTAAACACAGCTCTTCTGAGAGCTATGTTAGTCCTGTAACAAAAGGCATGCATTGAGCTGAAAGAGTTCCCTCTTTTCTTCACAGGTAAGAAGATCCATAAGCATCTACTACTATCTCAGTTTTAGGATAAATATTGTTTTATTTTAACACATATCCATGCAGATATCCTTAAATATCACTTTTAATTGGGACTGAAACCAAGGCCTGCACACAGTGTATATAATGAATGTAAATCACCTTACTTAACACAAGATCTAAGAAACATATTTGGATAGGGATTCAATAAAGTAAAATAAAATATTGGGTTTTGGTTAAAGGAACCATTGGTTGCCTAATATATTTAAGTAGCTGAAGTCCTGTATATATTTCTTTATGGAACTGATTCACAAAGCTCCCCTAGCAAATGGCTACAGCACTGGCACAGAATTAGTTCATCCTTCTGCATACTTTCAGTTCTTTTCTAAGCTCAGTTTTGAATTCACCTGTACGTTTGTAAGACTCTATCAGTTATTTCATTACTCTGGATTTCTCAGTTGGGTAAATAAGATAATTTACTTCACCATAGTTTGACATAAATCATACTTTTCTGAAGTCCCTTACAATTGCTTACACATGACAATAAATCAAACGGCTGAAGTATCTTCTAGAAGGCAGAATTCAGGGAAACAAAGGTTAAAATTATGTTGCCTAGACCTCCACCTCTTTTCCCTGATTCCCTTTTATTCACATTGAGGCAGTCAAAGATCCACAAATTCATTTGCTTCTGGGTTAAAACAGAGTAGAAATGTCATATCCTTTCTCTTTTGTAAGATGTGAAAGAGTCTGTACACTGAACCCTTGAAAAATATTATTTTTATTACTCAGCCACATTGTGGTCCATGATAAATAATAATACATAGGATTTTGCTACCTATGATAGGAAACTGTCAGCATTAAAAATATGTCTTTAGGGGATAAAAACCAGCAGCACTTGTTACTGCACACAGAATTTATTCAAAATCCATTATACTAGAGAAGTCCTGCCTGATGGATACATAGAAATCTGACACCCCAGAAAGATTTGGCCTAAGTCACTATGGTAAAATGTGTTTTACATTTCTCTGGGTATTTTTGTTGATTGGTTGAATTTTTGTCTTCTTGTTGTTGTTTTGGTGGGGGTTTTTTTGTTTTGGTTTGGGTTTTTTGTGTTTTTTGTTGGTTCTTTGGGTTTGTTTTAGTGGTTTGTTCCGTTTAAAGAGCTGTATTTGTCTTCTTTCAGAACTGGTCAGTAAATCATCTTTTCAAATTTACAATTTAGAAAAGAACACTGACAACACAATACATTCCTTATCTATCTCTTACTAATACTTGGAGAACACAACGTTCTTCAAATATTTGACTTCTATTACAATGGACTGGCTAAAGAAAAGAACATTATTGATTCTACTTTTCAATCCTCAGATTTCAGTATGTTATCTCATATACAAGAGCTTTGTACACTGACTTTCAATGCTGGACAGCAGATCTTATGTAAAGGTCTACTTTTCTTGTGTTCATAGTGCTGCTATCCTAAATCACATCCTGCAACTGTACATGGTCAATAAACCAAGTCTGCCAGATCTCTTCACATCTATTTTACATATTTTTAATGACATAAATCAGTCTATCCAACATCATCACATCTGCAGAGCATTATTTCTCTGACAGCATGATCATTTTAGCATAATCAGGAATCTGACTTTTAAACTCTTGGTTGTGCATATGTCTCAACTCTCAGAAATCCTGGATACAAGGCTGTGTCCGCTCCCTCTTTTATTGCCAAAACCAGAATCTCCAAAGATCTCTTTTTCCTAAGGGAAGACTCAGTTCTTTCCAAACTTCTTCCACTTGTGAAATTTTCTTCCCTGAAGAGTGAAGACCTCATACTATTAGTGTATTCGTTGTGTGGAAAGTTTTCTTATAACAAAATGTTTATTTGCTGTCTAAATTCGGCATCCTTCACTTCCCTGTTCATATCTGTTGTGACAGCTAAGCACTATCATTTGTTCAATTTAAGGAAAAGCTGTCAAACTTTGAAAAACATATGTACAAGATACGTAAGTGCACACATACATGTGTGTTTGAAGTAGGCTGACTTTTTATATACCTTCACTAGGCAAGCAGTAAAAGCCAAATAAAATCAAACTGACATTTATTTTCAATGAAAAATCAACCTCAATTTTTAAATGTAGTTTTAATTTTCTTTTTTGTGTGTTTTTTTTGTTTGTTTGTTTGTTTGTTTGGGGTTTTTTATTAATTAAAGAGTCCATGTGTGCACTTCCAGACCATGAATGCAGGAAGATTGGCAAAAGGGCCTGTGGCAAATGCCAGCTGAGAATAGGTGAGATAGCTTGAATAAAAAAATGACTGAAATAAACAGAGAATAATGAGCTCAAATTTATACTGCAGTCTTACTAATTGCACGTCATATTTTGCTCCTTTGCTGTGGCCTTACTGTAACTCTCAGCATAGAGGCATGCTGCCCAACAAAACAAAAACCTCTGCATGCTGCACAAACTTTCAAAAACCTCTTTATCAGAAAGTCAACTAAAGGTAGCACTCATTTATTCCACCCAAGTAGAACAACTACTATGGCTTACACCAACACCAGATTTATCTCTGGTTTAAGAGATTTAAGAAAACAGATTTAGGAAAGAAGAACCCCCGGATAATATTTACATTAAAAAAAAAATTCTTCTTCGCAATCTTAAAAAAATTAAAAGGCCAAAGAAGATTGCTTCCTAGACAAGACAAGGACCACAAAGAAAATAATACTCCAGGAAAGCAGTAAACAACCCCATAATGTCACTCTTCAGCGTGGATGGAGATAGAGGAATATTGTTCAAAAAGTCTTGGCTTACTGATGGTTAAACAATGTTGCTTCAAAGAAAGCTTGATAAGAAATAATAATAACATGAAAAAAGATTGATTCCAGATTAATCATTGATATATCTGTGATTTATCTGAAATGTACGAAGAAGCTATCATACTTAAGACAGAAGTGCCAGTATAATGAAAAATTCATCATTAATTTACTGCCAGAACAAAGTGTCAGTGTAGCTGATCCCATTTTATGGCTGGTACCACAGAAATATCAAAAAGTGACCTTTACATTGGCATTAGTGGAGTAGTTCAAAAACACAGTTGGATAACATTTATTATCTATAAAAAGTGCTTTAAGAGAAGCAACACAGTTCTAATAAAAAGAAAACATGCCATTTAATCCTGTTGAAATGTTTCAAACATTAAAATAATTAAGGAACCACCACAGGATGCAATAGATTCAGGTTGAAGGAAGCATTTGCTTCAAAGGCTGATGGGTCAAGAAATGAAGGAATTTATGAAGCTCTATGAGACCAATCACAATTCACAATATAAAATTCATTGTGGACAAAGTTTTAAAAAACCGTATTAAATGAACTTCTAAATTACTTCTACTCTCAATATTGGAATGAAGAGAGAAGATCGCTCTGATTCAGTGCTCAGTGATCATTAGAGAAGCAAAAAAGAGAAGGAATAAATTCTTACTGTGCCATTGTCTAAATCAATGATCCATTCTCATTTTGTGCTCTACTTGGTTTTGATCGTTTTTGTTTAAAAGTGATACACAGGAAGAAAAGAAACAATTCAGAGAAATTTTGGCACCAAATTGATTGGACAGGGGAACAAAGAATCTCAACCAAAGCAAGGCATTATAAAATGCAATAATGACTTTAATTCTCCTATCTGTATATATAGCAGATGCAGAATCGCAGGGGGATCATATTATTTCATTCTTTCAAAGCAAAAATGGGAGCTCCCAAAGGAAATAAAAACCATTTATTACATATGTTGGTGCAATCAAAAATTACCCTGATTGCTAGTGGATGTAAAGCAAACAGTTCACTGAGATGCTGGCTGTAGAAACTTTCCTGATACAGCATTAGTCAATCTTCATCTGTGATAGTCCCAGACAGCTCAAAGTGGCAAAACAGCATTTTGTATGAACTGGTAGTTTCTGCTCCTGTGCTGTGCAGAGGTACTGGTGAATAGGAGGAGGTTTTTCATCTCCAATGATCACTTTCAACTATCTTGGGAATACAGCAAAAGCAATCTTCACCACCCTCAGCTCTCAAGAGTTCTCCTGTCACTTCTGTGACATTGAACTGCATTCCTGTCTTTTCCGTGGCTCTCCCAGTGCTGCAAAAGCCGTGCCTTGCCCGTGGGAGACGGTCACTGTGGCTGCAGGGACCCTGCTGTGTCTGAAGAGACATGTCTGCTGTGGCAACCAAACGCCATGAAAGCTCACATTACTTTCTTCCACTGCCATCCCTTTGTTTTCGGACAGTCAGAGGGAGTAAGAAAATCTCCATGAAATGGAGAAAGATAAATGGAATAGGGACAAACACCTGAAATACCTGTCTGTGGCATAAATAACCAGCACTCCCTGTTTTGCACTGAAGTGGCATTGCTTTGTTTGTAACTGCAGCTTAACTGTGATACTGTCTGAAAAAAATGGAAAGGGGAAGGAGGGAAGAAAGAACAGGAGTGAGTTTTTTCTGTTTTTGCATTGTATCAGGCAAGTCCTCATTCAGAAAAATGCTTTATGAATCTTTTTATGCTGGAGAGATTTAGAGTCCCTATTTCCTATGAAACCCATTTGTAAGGCACACATACATCTCTTTCATGCAGCAGTATGTGTTTATGGATAGAAACTCTCATTTCCTTGGCTGATATCTATTCTCCTTTAGAAAAACCCCAGAATTTCTAGCCATAATACTTGACATAGATAACTTGTCTGTTTATTCAGAGAGTTCAATGAGCTAGGAAGAGTGACACTTAAACACAATAGTTTATTTGACAATGTTATTAAATATTAATGCCAATTTATGTAGGTGTCTAATCAAACAGCAGCCTTGGTCATCTTTGGGAACTGAAGTAAAATTTACTTGTTGTTGACATTAATTGAATGAGCTGATCTAGTTATATAAAAATCACCCTACAACACTGAAATCAAACTTAGTATGAAAAGTTATTATCACATAGATAGGATAGAGCTGCCAGCTCCATACAGACAATATAATTGGTATTCTCAACTGCCTGCCAATCTACAGTTACATTTCTGGCTTGGCAAATGTAGCTATCATAAATGGCAGCATGCACTCGGCTTACAGAATAAAAGTATTTACTATTTCATGGATAAAGAGCATCCACTGCCATAAGAATGTTAGAAAAAAGAAAAGTAAAATACAGTATATTTTTCTAAGGAAAACTGTTTTATTATTGGCTTAAATGCTAGGGTACATAGAAAAGTATTTAATGTCTCTATTTCTACTTCAAATGCTACCAAATCATCTCAAAAGAGGCCTCATTTTCATAAAGTGCTGAGCAGATTAAGAAAAAACCAACAACCACTGCAGACTTTGCTATTGCCAGAGCCCTACCTTGTCCCCAAGGAAGAAAGGATTTTGGAGCTGAGGGCAAAGTGCTTTGGGGAAGCTCATCCGAGGGATGGGCAGGGTGAACCCAAACTTTGGACTGAATACTCTTATGCTAAGACACGAGAGTGTCCACATAAAGGTTTTGTCCAAAAGTTGAGCAAAGAGTTGGGAATCTTTTGCTAAAGGAATTTGAATTGGGAAATGGGATGCCTTGCATTACTTGTGTTCAACCTCTTCACGGCACTGTAAAAACAGTAGATTTTGGATACTGTCCCTCTGACTGTTCAGAAAAGGTTTCAAAAATTCAAAATAGAAAAAGGAAATGCAAGCCAAAACCATTTTATTATGTCCCATGTACAAAAGCATAAAGAACTAGTAAACCAGTGTTTCACTGACAGGAGTATCTCTGATCAAACATTCACTATGGTAATAAAAACTGTTAACTTCTTTTAGGAAAATAATCAATTGACAGATGAAGAGAACACTTTTCACTAAAGAAGCAGCACATCAAGGCTTTCAGCATGTCTGCATCCCTTCGTGTAATGTACTCCTGGACATGTGTTTGATGTAAGGTACTGCCTGTTTTTGTTGAGATTCAAGATGGGGAGGAGAGGGGAAAGGCAGGCTATGAGAGAGAGAGGGAATTTGTAATGGCCAATACTCTTTATCACAGGACTCAGAACAAAGATGCAGCATCCTAAGCTGTTACACATCAGTCCTTGAATCCCACATTAATTCTCTGTTCCACAAAAAAAACCATGTAGTTTTATCTGAGAGAAATAACATTTTGGTTATTTATTAAAACTCAGTGTCATGTGAATGCATTTTTCAAGATCTGGACTCAACAAAGAAAAATCTTGCATTAATTTTCTGTTTTAAGAGAAATGAGTATGTGTTCTGTGGATCCCTTAATTCTTACTCATGTTTCCAGTAATGAACTAAGAAAAAAAGAAAACAAACTCACATGAGAAAAGGACAGGAGTCATTACTGGATAATGTAAAAGAATTACATCCAAAAAGGCATTATCAAAGCTCCCAGGAAACTGAGAAACCTTATGACCAGATCCAAAGGACTTACATACTGAAACTTAGGCAGAGCTAAAGCACTTAAATTCAGAACAATGATACCAAAATATGATTCTTATCTGCCATCGAAGTACTAAACATAACTTTATAGAGGAATTTAGGGGGGGTTTAAATGACTGTAATTTCTTCCCTGTAACTTAACATTAACTCCATAGAAACAACATTGATATAGAAATTAAATTAAAACCCCTGTGATCCAGTCTTACCTTCCTGATGCCTTCAGAAGGGTTTGATACGCAATTATCTGCCCCATTATTCTTACTGATAGTCCTCCATAGTTCAGCAAATGTGTTATCCTGCTCCAAAGGGTTGGTCCCTTTTGCTTTAAAGTATTCATATACTGCTGAATCCCTGACTGTACCATAAGATATATCCATTTGTTTGGACAGATCCTGAAATGTTCTGAAATTCAAGCGATATTGAGAAATTAGTATTATGTAGTACATTAGCAAGATTTCATTAATTAAAGGTTTCCTTCTGTAGCCGTCATTCATGAGAAAGCACTTAGCCTCACCAAGTAACATTTCCATATTTCATTCCTCATCGTAAAGGAAAGCCAAGTAGTTATTTAATTGTACTGAGATCATATGATTTTAACTACATCCAAGCTGTGTTTCACCCCAGTGAAAGATATTTTTTTTTTTTACAGATAACATTCATGTTAAATATGCCACCAAGATTGCACAAGAATATAATGTGATAAAGACTTACCTGAACACAGGAAGAACTCAGATTATAAATATAAATTTCCAGCCCCATCAACTTCACCAGAAATACCTCGCAGAAATCAGTGGAATTAGTTTGCAGTTATACCAATGCTCCATCTGACTCCAAATCAATATGACTCTTTTAAACAAACAAATAAAATCTTGCTTCCAATTTCCACTAAGTCTTTCTTGCTCTCCCTTTTCACAGCCTCTGGTAAAACAGGCATTTTTCATTCACACAGAGGCCTAACTTTCATTTACTCATCATATACCACTCTGGAAGTGTAAATGGGCCTCACCCTGAGTGGCTGTGAATGCACAATTTATTTTCAAATTGTACAGAATGTAATTCACTCCTGTTTTACAGCCTCTTCTGCACTGGAAGGTGTAAATCACTGCCTGCATCAATGAAAACCAGCCCAAGCCTCCAAACATTTCAGGTGGCATGAGAAGCAGCATCCTGGCTGTTTTCCCTCTCTCAGAGGTTCATTCCCATTCCTGTGCCTTCCTCCTTTGCCCTCAAGTATCACCTCTGTGTGATGCCACCATTTTTACATCTGAGCATAGAAATATACAACACACATTCGACCAGTGACAACCACACACACGGCAGCAGGGACCAAACTGAATCTCATGAATAATGGCCTATTTTCATTAAAATGCTTTATAAATGTGTGACTTCACATATTGACAACATGCTTCTGATATAACCAACTAACATTGCTTGACATCTATTGAACTAAAGTAACCCTCCCTGCCTCACCCCATTTCTTTTTCCCAAAAACAATCTTTCAGAAACAAAAATTTCCTGATCAATAGATATGAAAAGCCCACTCTTGCCACCTCCCCCACACTTCCAGCTCCTGGAGCCACAAAAGCAGAACATTTTTGCTTGCAGCTTGTGCACATTTCTTCCCAATGCTCCTGAGGAGTCTTCCCTTGGCCCACGAGCCAAAGCTGTTTTCCATAGCTGAAGACTTGTCATATACAATATTTTTCTGCCACCCTCTTCCCTGTTTCACTGGGGAGATGCCATTGCTGACACATCACATGCCTGTAAGGTTCCCTGCTACACTATTTAAAGCAAAACAATCTAGGCATATACTCAATGCCACATAAAAATACGTAGAAAGCTCTTCCCTCTTCTCCCTCACATCACCCCAGGCCTCCTAAGGTGCCCTTCTCTGGGACTCCTGGTGTGGGAGCCCTGCCCCCAGGATGGAGCTGCTTCTCAGCACACCCCCTCCCCAAACCCTTCGAACTCACAAGCTGCTCCACACAGTTTAAGTGGTTTAAGTTCTTAAATTGTGTTAAGGACTTTTTATCATTTTAAGCTGTTAAGCAGCTTTAAGTAAGACTGTGTGAACAGTTTCTATATACATTGCATACTTGTGGATTTGGGCTAACTCTAGGAGTTCCACCAAACCCCAAACCTCCTGTTATTTTCCCAGCTCTGTATATGGCAATTATTAAAGTACAAAACAAGCATCCTGGAGGCTGTTGGAAATTCAAAGTGCTAATGAAAAATGGCAGAATTTGTTCTGATTTTATTTCTTTCTTTAACGACCCTGAAAGGTCTATTATGCCCTGCTAAATGTTTCCTGTATATTCTATGGAACTACTTTTCCTCTAATCTTGATCGACATGATTACATGCCACATATAGTTCGGTCTACAGTTTTTAAAGTAAGTTTCATCCTATCCCATGGAATTGCTTAAACCCCAGGAATGGATCATTTTTGGCCGTTAAAAGACACTTTTCTGCCTATAGAGCAAAGAAAGGTACTCGATACACACAGGAGGGCCTTCTGTGACAACTCTTTCCCACCAGGTTTAGTGTAGAGATTTTGGTGTGTGTAGGGAAGCATGTTTGGTAGAAGCACAGTAGCAGAAATATGTTTAACTAAAATACTTTAACACAGGTTTCAGCTGGTAACAACTTTACAAATGCCTACTGCTGATACCGTTATTCTGTTTGAAAGTTTGAACATGAGGGTTTGAATAGTTGAAAAAAAATTAAATTTGCAATTTTAATATTATCAGTATTTTTTCTTTTCCTTTATTGCCATGGAAGCTTTTATTCAGGAATGTGCATTTTGTTTTAGCTAAATTGCACTTTATTGACAATCAGTATTTTTATTTTAGCTAAATTACATTTTATTGACAATCAGTACTGCACAAAAGCACAGTACATGTTGCTTTACGAGCAGCACAGTTTGTTCAGTTCTCTAAGCATCACAGGGCAGAGAGAGCAAGTCTGGGGTTTAAATCAAGTGCTTGCAATAAACAGACAAGCACACAGGTGGCAGGGAGGGAAGCACAGTGTTGCCCTGGGTGTGGGAGTAAGTAACCCCTTTAGCTGGCAGCATTTCCTTGCAAAAGAAAATGTGGAGTATTACGTGTCCTAAGGATTTCTTGCAGTGCACTGTTTGATATTTTGGGCCACTTAGCCAAAAACCTATCCCAGAAATAATCCTGACAGGGAGTGGCCTCAGCCACAGTTCTAACTCTGTATGAAAAAATATGTCTGCTGTATTTCTGCACTGAAAGTGGAGATGATGCTCAGCACCTCCATGGCTAGAGAAGTGGCCAAAAGATTTGGCCATGGTGGGCATGGGCACATACATAAATGATATTGGAGGGAGATGAATTATCTCCTACTTTTTACAGGGCGAAGTGAGATAATCACAAGGGTAGGTTTTAAACACCATTATTTTAACTCCCTCAAATTTGCCTTTGCAGACAAAATCACTCACAACTACATTTCAGACACTGGCTGTATCTTACAGTTGTGTCATTCTTTAAAGGCAGCTGCTGTCATTGCTCTTAAGCTTTATTTGTGCAACCAGCTGTTACCTGGACCCATCTCCTTTAGCCACTCAAATGCTTGTCCTACTTTGCTATGGCAAAGATTTCATGCATTTAATATACAAAATTATTTGCAACAAAAATGTGCAGCATAACAAGATGCCCCATTAACCTTACCACCCTAGTTATTGGATCTTACAAGCCATTAAAGTCTCTTTGTAAGTGTGATTAAAGATAAAGCCAGTAAAGCAGAAAAAGCCAATGTCCCTCACTTACAGGAGCTGCAACTTCAATTTGTAAATACATCCATGGTGTGATTGCTGTAATTGACAAGTACATGTAAACCAATTGATTTAAGTAAATGTATCTGCAGTCAATCTAAAGAAAAATGTTGTCTTTTAAACCTGTATTACCAGCCAAAATATTTAATGCCCATATTTATGCCTGCTAGATGAATGCAACAACTGATACGTATTCTGAGTGGAATTGCAATTACTTCATGCAGACTCAACTGAAGACTGGGCTCTCTGCTTGTTTTGTTTGTTACAAACTTATTGACATAAAACAAATGCTGCAGAAGACACAGGCAACAGTGGTATTTGCATTTATAATTAGACCAATAGAAGTAATTGCCAGAATAAAAATACTGGTTAAGACACACTTTTTGGAGATGTTTTCTTACTTGTAAAAGCCTTGTGTAGCTGTAGATACATAGACTAAAAATATGCTGCCAGTATGGGTTTATTTTACTCTGTTGCTGCTATATACCCAAGATTTCTGGATGAATAATAAGTGACAGACTAAACTTGACACCAGGTGCTCTGAGGTAACTGCTGATCAATTAACTCAGCTGGAGGCACCAGGATCATCAGATGTGATCAAAGTATTTTTCAAAAGAAAAATATGATCCTGTCATTAAAAAGAAAAAAAAAAGGTGGATTTTTGTTTGTAGTGACCCTGAGATTTTTGCTCAGTGCATCAAAATATTCTAGGTGATGGCTGCCAACAAGATAAAGTGTCTCAGGGATGATGAGACTTTTTAAGCTGCTCTGCCTAAATGAAGTCTTAAAAATGCATACATAAAATGTATAGTATAAGTCCTGAATTTCTATCTTTAAATGCCTTGAGGCTAATTTATTTTCTTTTAAACTTTTTTTTTCTCCAAAAGTTAGGAATTCATTACATCTACAGAATTAAATATAAGCGCAGCTCCTAACAGGAACTGTTTTCTCCATACAATTATGTGAGAGGGAAATATGTGTCATGCACTGGGAAAACAGTAAACCTAGTAAATTTCAAAGTAAAAACAGAAGTATCTGAACTGATTTTACAAGCTTATACCACCACTGTAAGCCTAAGAAACACCTATGGCTGAAACCTAGAACATAAAATCCTATCTGAAAGGAGATTTATGGATAAAGTTATACCCAGTGGAAACCAATGAGTTGAAAGCGAATTCTGCCTACTGTGAACTGCAGAAAAGTGCCGAATTTTGAGACCTAAAATTGCTCAAAACTCCTCCCTCCAAGGGAGAATTTTCTGTGACAATAAGGACAAATAAGAAAATGTTATTAGTTGCTGTTGACCTCATTAATCCACCCACTAAGAGATGAACTTGGAAGCCAAGCAAGCATTGCCAGATCAGATTCTCATTTGTAGATGTCCCCCAAGTGAAAAGTCTGCAAAGCTGAATCAATGTTGAAGTAGGTACAGACAGTGTCTACGTGAGCAGATCTTACCATTCAGAACCTTAGTCCTGACCTGAGTCCTGATTAATTTTTATATCCATTTATGAATGTGCAAGGCAAAGGATCTGAGCCTCAGACCATTGTTCACAAATGAAAAATCTTTGAAACTCCAGTTTTAAGTAAAATTTATAAATGGGTAG